ATCTTTTGCGTGAAATTCAAATGATAAGCGGGGGCATAAATTCCGATTTTTATGTCACCGATTAAATATGTACATAAAGGTGAAAGCAAAATTCAACAATGACAAAAATTGGGGAAAGAAAAGGAAAGGGCAACAAACGAAGAAATTCATAAGCTCTTAATTGTTGGACATATAAGGGAAATCCAATATCTAGAATGATTGGCCAATGTGATGATGGTAAAGAAAGATGTTTGTTGATTTTGCTAACATAAGCACTGCATGTCCCAAAGATTCTTACTCTTTGTCAAATATTGATGTTTCGGTGGATATTACATTTGAACGTGGATTGTTGAGCTTCATGGATGTCTATTCGGGGTACAATCAAATTCAAATAGAATCAAGGGATAAAGACAAAATGACATCCATGAGAGAAAGGATGAATTATTGCTACAGGGTAATGTTTTTCAAACTTAAAAATGCAAAAGCAACCTACTAGAGGTTGATGGATAAGGTTTTACCGTCTATGCTGCAAGCTTATGTGGATGACATAATCGTCACGTTGAAAGCCAACAAGAGTCATTGTAAGGATTTAGAAGAGCTTTTTTCTACGATAAACAGTTGAAGCTTAGTCCAAACAAAATATATTTTTGGAATTAATACGAGAAAGTTTATAGAATTTTTGTTGACAGAAAGATGTATTAAAGTCAATTGAAAAAAATAAACATATAAAAAGTTTAGATAACATAGAGAAAGTCCAACAAAAAAAAATTAACATGAAAAAAAGATAACTACCTTCCAGATTTTTAAGTTAGAAGTAAATTTTCTTTATTTTCAATACCTCTATAAAAATGAAATTACAATTGAACTATTTTGGTCTAAATATTTTTCAAGAAAGTTCTCTATATATTTTCTTTTAATATAGACCCTTTTACCATAATCATATATATATTTTGTTTTTTTTTTCTTTTTTATGATGATTGATGATAGAGATATAATATTTTTCATTTATTATTCGAAAACGAAAGCCCAAAATTGACTTTAAAACAGTAGGCAAACATGTCGGCATGATATTGGGCTTCGTTAAGGCACTGTTTGGTCTCTCTTGTTCTTTACATTTACTCCTCCATTATCTTCTTTGGCTAAAGTGTTTTTTTATCCTTTTGGCTTTTTGCTGTTTATTTTATTTATATTATTTATCTGTGTTTTATTATGCAACTATTAGTTATAGTTATCCCTTTACAATAATACATTTTAGTTAAGATGTGCAACTCACAATTTCAGTTAGAAAAAAATAAAATTATAAGGCATAGCATGGAATTGATTGTTCCAGTATAATTAAATTATTGGTTTTAAGCTCACAATTGAATATTTTTAATGACTAATTTCAAACAAATTTTATGTCTTTTTAATTGATATATTGCAAAAATATTTAATCATTCTTACATGTAAGATTTTATTGGTTTTTCATATATATATAATGTCATATATATATATATATATATATATATATATATATATATATATATTACATATATGACATTATATTTCAAAATGATTTCATGCAATTGCGTGATTATAAGTAAGAGTACGTGTGATTTTTTCTATTAGTATCTGTGAGATAATAATATATAAAAAATATTCTTCCACATTTTAACTCCTTAATTTGCATGGATTTGTCGTAAATATGAAGGAGAGAGAAGTGTAGCATGATCGTCTAAAAAATGAGAATATTTGTGTGAATTATAAATGTATTTCCTGAAATAATTATTTTTTATTTGTCATTTTCATAATAATAATAATAATTACTCTTATTAACTTTTTTATTTAGAGACTAATTATCCAAATTTTATTTTAAATTAATTTTAACTAACTTTACTTTATTTTACATTAATTTTAATCGTAAGAGTAAAATTATAATTTTATGTTTTAATTTATTAAAACATTTTTTTATTTATATCATATCATTAAAAAACTTTCATAAATTTTATCTTTAAATCTCTTTATTTTTACATATCCATCACTTAAAACAAACAACATCATGATTATTTCTTTATCTCCTTGATCTATATTAATTCATCTTCAAATTTATTTCTAAAACAAAACAAAATAATAATATATACAAAATAAAAAATAAATAATATCTTTCCTATATTAAACAAGCACATTCGTAACAAAAATATTTAATTAATCCATCTAAACATGTTTCAAATGACTAAAGTTATGTCAAATTAACCATATGTTTCCCCTTGAAAATGAGATATTTTATTGAAAAAGTTATTCTATGTGGTGAATAACAACAACCTCTCTCTATCTAGATGAATATAGTGATTAAAATATTGGTAGCTTCTACTTTTGATTCTTTAATTGTTCTAATCAGAAGTGGAAGCAAATTATAATAAAATAATCAAATCGGATTCCATGCTAGTGTTGATTGATTCAGTTAGTTCATCAAATTAATTTCAATTCATTTTCACTGACTTTATTATAATCGAGTTAAGTGTAAACTGGTTTAATTAATCTAACTCAATAGTACATTATATTATTATTATTATTAATGAATTTGTACGTGGCTTCTCTTTTTCTAAGATTTTTTACTTTTTAAATTTGTTTTTTCTTTTTTACTTTTTATGGTTTCTTAAATTTGAGGTAAACACTTTCTGAAAGTTTTTAAATTTGATTAATGAATAATTATGAAACTAAAAAAGGTTACAAAAATTATATTTTTAATTTTAATTCATTAATCAAATCAGTAAAATGTATCTGAAAATTAAAAAAAAAGATATGTTTATAGAAATATTTAAAAAGCATATAAAAACTTAATAATTTTAATAATAAAATTATTAAAACAAATTCTAATATAAAACAATATTGTTTTTATAAAAAATTAAAAAAAAGAAAAAAAATCTACAAATGTCTTACTATTTTACATCTACTAAAAAATATATCTATTTTGGTGTATTTTTCGAGTTTTACAAATAATGGTTTATATAGTTAAATAGATACCAAGAGACTAAATTAAGGTTTACGATATTATAAACTAATTATATATAAAAATGTTTTCAAATGTGGAAACTTTTGTATTAAATAAATAATGATACTGAATTATGTATAAAAATTAAAATGATTTATAATATCGATGAGAAGGAAACAGTTATATTTGTGAAATTCACAGCTAGCCATGTTAAGTAAGCAACTCCGTGATTCACGTGTAACTCGTAATGCAATACGCGTAAACAAAACAAGAAGGATTAAACACCAAACTCAAACAAATTAGGTCACCAAAACCTCTCAATTAAAAAACCAATTCTTAATTCTATTTCTTAATTAATGCTGTGCCCACAAATTCATGCTCAGCATCAATTCACCATTTCAAACCTACACAAAAGGACTGGTCAACAACTCACTAAGGATTTTAACAAAAAGAAAAAAACATTAAAAAAAAAATCAGAAAGACAAACTAGTATAATTTATATAGTCCTTCACAAAATTAATAGTTAGATGTTATATTAAAATATTCTTCAATGAATTTAGTTTCCTTGTTTATTTTATAGTACACCATGAATGATATCACATCTTTCTTTAATTACTACTCTATTGTAACAAGTATTATTAAAAAATATATTACGAAATGTGTGACACATAAAATGCATTTGTTTATAACCATAATCAAGAGTTATTAAAATTAACATTTTCATTTGTCAGAGTTTATATAAATGAAACATTAATCCTAAAAAGGAAAATGTAAGAGGATATCTCAGCCCATATATATATATATATATATATATATATATATATATATTTCAATCTTGACAAAATATTTTATTTCTTGAAAGAGCACATGTATAATGAATTAGTTTGGTTCGTATATGTAAGAGTAAAAAAGATTATAGTTTTAGGTTCATATATTATACACACATCACTTAGAAAAAATAAAAAAAAAGGAGAGTAAATGTGTTAACTAAAAAAAAATCTAATTAGACCTTTTGTTTTTAGAACAACAAAAAAGGTTTGTATAGATAAAATATATAAAAACACGTTTTGAATTATTATTAATGATAACCTATGACGAGTTAAAAGGCTTGATATTATTATTTTTCCATATATGAATACATTATTTTATTTATACTAGGTCCACGTATTTTAATTATATTTTATATCTACATTAAGTTATACCTTGAATATTCTTCACATTTGACTATTATAGAATGGATATTGTTGGTCCAAATTAACTACTACTCAATTTGATTCCTTCCATATTTGAAAGAGATAATCTAAAATACTCTCTTTTACATGTTATATTATCGGTGTAAAATATCCATTAACTATTAATGATTAATTAAAGTAAGAAATTGTTTTACCAACATCAGTGAGATTTTCCATCCCATTATATTTCCACAGGAGCTTATTAAAAACTCGCTGATAAATTTTAAATCCAAAAATGTTAATTTGAATTTCCAATACATACACATATAATATTTTTTTTAGTTTATTATTTCTTTGATTTTTTTTCAATTTAAAAAATTTAGTACAATTTATCAAAATACTCGTTGGAATAGTACAATTTTGTGGTAGTGGGTAGATAAACCATTACATGTTGCCCCCATCCGTTTTCTCTCTCCTCACTGCCTTCTTCTTTGAACAAAATTTGGAGAACAGTTGTTTTAAGTTAAGAATTCAAACATAAGAACGTGCATAAGTAATTTTAGTTTAAAACCCAGAAACAGATTAAGAAAAAGATTATGAAAACTAATGTCAAAATTAAAAATTTAATAACACACAAAGAAAAATCAAAGATGTATGTCGTTGCTGGAGGAGTTCAACATGTGTTAGCAATGCCCATCACACATGGTAAGGGTGGGACCCACTTCCCGGCCGCGATGATGATTATTAAAAACTACAAATGTACATGTACATGTTTGTAATTATTGAGAGTTGCAGGGTGAAAGTGAAACTTCGTAGCAACACCGAAAATCCAATGACAACCTCGTAATAGAGATTGTGTAACGCAATTGTTGAGTTGCAACTGTGTTCCCTAATTAGTAATTACCATCCCAATTACAATTTTCCATTTCCACTTCAAATTTCCAAATTTGAAATTCCCCTTACACTTTTATTTCTTATTTATTATAATATCATACACACAGATATATAAATATTTGTTTTTTATTTTAGTTATTTATTATTTATTATTCTTCCTTTACCTTGTGCTGTGTTTCACCTCACCAGTTTCTTCGATTGGTTGATCTGCTTTCTGGGGCAAGTTGGTGTCGATGAGGATCACGTTCTGAGGCATCCACTGTGAGTTGTAGAAGCGGAAAAGGGAAGTGTTTGGTGGCGATTTCTGAGATTGGTCTTGTGTGGGTGTGAGTGTGAGTTGAACTGTGTTGTAGGATTTTGAGGGGTTTGTTGTTATGAAAGGCATTATTCCTTGGTGGGTTTTGTAAGGGGTGGCTTTGATTTGCTTGGATTTGATATGGGTGGGTGTTTTCCTTGTTTTGGATCATCCAACAAGGAGGACAGTGGTGGGGTGAGGGTCAAGGAGGTGCCCAACAAGGATTCTTCTTTTAAGGAAGCTGCTTCTCTTGTTCCTCAGTCTCATCACCCCAGCAGGGCAAACACAGGTTTGGCTCCTAATTTTCCGACTTTCCTTCTCAGACTTCTGTTGCCTCTTTGATTGAACCACTACTTCCCTGCCTTGCTTCAATTCTCCTCAATTTCCCCTTTTCTTTACCTTTTCTTGCCTTTTCTGCCCATCTTCTTCAATCCATCTCATTCGTTGCTTTGATCTGGTTCATCCGAGGTTGTGCTCGTACTGCTGTAGTCACTGAAGTGATTTCTTGCCAGTGGATATGTTTTAGCTTCACTTAATTCAATTTTGTTCCTACCAAAGGCTTTTTGTTACATCTTTGGGGATCCGCCCTTGCCTTTGGATATGACAAGTATATCACATTGTTTCATAAGGTTTTCGTTTTGCCCTTTTGACAATTCTGGGACGCGAGGCAGATGCCGGGTCCAGTCCAATTGCTGCATTTTCTGTAGATTGTTCAATGTGGTAGTCTGGTAGCTTTTATAGAAATTTAGTCTAGATGATTTGTACAGAATGCCCTTGTCTGAAGAAAAATTTAGTTCATTCAGAAGATAGGTACTGAGAACTTTACCTTGGCATTTGTGCTGCTGGACAATTGGGATTGTCAGAACTAGTTGAATAACATTCTAACTGATGGCAGGATCTGGTACATGATTTAACGAACGAGACCCTGTCATTGTGCAATTTAAACTTAAACCCGTGAAACTCAAGCTGGGTTTTAAGTGTTACATGTAATTATAAGTTTAGCAGTATGATGCCGTGATATCACTCTTCAGTACATATTTTTATTCTCTAGTATACCAGATGTTCTTCTGTTACTTTTGCTCGATCTTATCTTTGATTATCTATTCAGATAAATCGAAATCATCACGAAGTGGCGCAGATGCTAAGAAGGAAGCACCGGTTCCAAAGGATGGCCCAACAGCCCATATTGCTGCACAAACATTTACATTCCGAGAGCTTGCAGCTGCTACAAAGAATTTTAGGCCAGAATGTTTACTAGGCGAAGGGGGTTTTGGACGTGTTTACAAAGGTCGTCTCGAGAGCACAGGACAAGTAAGTTGTGACATCTGCTATGAACATTAACAGATACTGAAGCTCAGCATAATGGCTTTCTTGTAGAAAAGTTTTATTATTTTTCAATTTGCATGTGCAGCTTTCAAAATTTGCCTGTCCACTGTCGGTTTTCCATTTGATTTTTGCACTGTTACTATAACTCTGCCTCTGTCTGAATTTTTGTTGATGAAATAATGAAATAATTCTCTTTGCAGGTAGTTGCTGTAAAACAGCTAGACCGAAATGGTCTCCAAGGAAATCGAGAATTTTTGGTGGAAGTTCTCATGCTCAGTCTCTTACATCATCCCAATCTTGTGAACTTAATTGGTTATTGTGCAGATGGTGATCAGCGGCTGCTTGTTTATGAATTTATGCCACTGGGGTCTTTGGAGGATCATTTACACGGTCAGATTGCATTCTTTTTGAACTGTTGCCATTGCTTCCTGAACTATTATGCTTTCGTATCATAAAACTAATGAATTTTATATTTCAACTTGGTTCAATCTTTTAAATGTCAAGAAAGTAGGTAATTGTAGGATTCTTTGTTGAATTGGAAATAATTATAAACTATAAATTGGCCTTATCTCTAGGCGATGTGGGACTAGTGGGTGGAAGCGAAGAATAGAGTGCCCACTTAGAACTCGCTAGGATAGGCTCTAACCATGACTTTGATACCATGTTAGTAATGGACTTTAAGTCTAACTCAACCCCACAAAACCGGCTTGTAGGATGAGGTTTGCACCCAATTATAAACTATGAATTGGCCTTATCTCTAGTCGATGTGGGACTTCCAACAATGTCTGTGTTGTTTCTAATAAAAATGGGGGGGGGGGGGGGAAACTGTATGTGATACAAAACAGGGAGAAAATAAATAAGATTGTTATCACACGGTTCAAACTTCAAGGAATGAAATACATTATTCTAGAGGCTTTGAAAGAAAGAGAGAGAGAGAGAGAGAGAGTGCATCTTATGTTTCTATTTCTACAAATCAATTTATATTAGGAGTTAGGAAAGTTACTGTAATTTGTGAGTTGAAGGGCTAGTCCGTTAGATGGGATATAAGAGGTAAATAAATAGGAGGAGGAGGTAACAGGGGGACATTATATTCCATCTTGCATGATTTGTAGATTGAGCTTTTGCTCTTTTGTGAATGGAGAAACTGTATGAAGGAAAACCAGTTGAGACATCCTATTTTATGTTTTTTTTCCCATTCAATTCCAAAAATATTTCTTCTTTTCCCATTCCTATTCTTGGTACCTAACAGTTTATCTTCTACTTTAGCTAGTGAAAGTGTGTAGTATGTGAGGAGATCATGTATCTTTGAAAAAACATCATAGATTCCAATTGAATGATAGAATCTCCCTATAAAGATCATAGATTATCAATAGGTACCTTAAACTATTGTGTGGTGGATGCTATTCTTTTTATTGCCTTATACATATACTGTTTGAAAATTGTTTCATGTTTACATGATGTTGCATTGTTCAAATGCATGAGCAGTTAACTGTTACTGTAAGATTGGGCGGACATCTAAGTTTCAAGAACTACCATGAATATGTTTTAGTGAATCACTAGTGTTGATACTTTATGATATATGACTTGGGAATATTGTTAATGGTTGTATTTGCAAAATCATGATGTAAGTTCTGACAGTTGTTGAAATCTGTTAAATGAACCAAATTCCATTTTTATCACATAATTCTTTTACTACTTTTGACTTGGTATTACCTTCAAAGAGAAAACATGTATCGTTTTTTACTGTTAAGTATTGATCACTCATTTCTGTTGGATTTTTATCCTTTTCACTTTGTTTATTTAGGTGATGAGATATAAATTAATTTTACAGATTATTTTCCAAAAACCACATGGCAATGGTTATGTGCACATGTTTTGGAATAGCTCCTTGTTTTGTGGAGAGTTAACCTTTTCTTTCACAAGTTTTCTCAGGAAGTTGGCAAAAAAAATTATTGTTTCTTCAAAATATTCTAACTAAATATAGCCCTTAAAATCTACCACTTATATTAGGGTACCCTTTCGATGTTTTGGAAAATAATGATCTAAATCTATGGTAGAAGTTAAATTTCTTACTTGCAGATAGAAGTGCTTGGTCTCAAATGGAAGTATATTACTTTTGTTTATCAGTTTATCATAGAAAGGGGAGTGAAGGGAGAATACTTTCATGCACAAATTTTCCGTTGCCTCTTCATATACCACATTCAGAATTGACATAATGTTTCTTTATACTTTTTGACTAAGACAATAAGAATTATGGTTGTAACTAATAATTTACTATTAGGTTGAGTTGAGTTTGAGGATTCTGGGAATTTTTACAAAAAGGTTTCTGAATAATCCGTGTTAGACTTCCATTTTTTGCCTCTAGCTTTCTAGCTCCATGGGATGCACAAGTTTGCATAGGCTGACAGTTAGTGGCCTTTCGTAGTTTTGGGGTTATACCGCAAGGTGTGGTGACACCCTTTGGGTATGGGAGTGTTTTGCATAGACCAGCATGCTTATGGCTAAATAGATATGTTTTTGTTTATAATTAGCAAAAGCTTTAATTTGTAGATGGTTATTGAAGTTGGAAAACCGTTTAGACTCGTGCTTTATGATTTTCTCATTGCAAAGGAAAAATCTTTGATGAATTGTTGGTGTAGAATTCATGATGTAGTGGTGCTAGTTATAGAAGTTCGAAGCAGAATCTTAAATTCCAATGTAGAACTGTAGGAGTAATGAGGTTTTTAGTTGAATTTGGCATCAATAATGGTATCATTGAACTTGGCTGGGGGCTTGGTCTTGCAACACTAGATGATTTAGGATGGTATTTGTATTCTGCAGTCAATTTGATCAATCGTTTTCATTCAATCAATCTTCTTTGTAGTAATCAGATTAGCTCAGACATAAATATTCTACAATACGTGGTAATTTAATTTCATTTTTTTGCTTGAATACTTTTCCAATTGGTTAAAGATAAATAAAGCTAAAAAATTATTTGTATGTTAAAATTGTTGCAAATTACGGTGCATGTTGAAGAGCTTTTCTAACTTTATTTCGACTTATCTTACTACGCATAACCTTGTTCAAGTGTTTTCTCGTAATATTGTACATAAGAAATTTCTTACTCTGACTCCCTTTTCCAGATCTTCCTCCTGACAAGGAGCCTCTGGACTGGAACACTAGGATGAAGATAGCAGCTGGAGCTGCAAAGGGATTGGAATATTTGCATGACAAGGCAAATCCGCCAGTGATATATAGAGACTTAAAATCATCCAACATCCTCCTAGACGAGGGTTACCATCCCAAGTTGTCGGATTTTGGGCTGGCAAAACTTGGTCCGGTCGGCGACAAGACTCATGTATCAACACGAGTAATGGGAACATACGGCTACTGTGCTCCGGAATATGCCATGACCGGTCAACTAACTCTGAAATCTGATGTCTACAGTTTTGGAGTTGTGTTCCTTGAACTTATTACTGGGCGCAAGGCTATTGACAATACACGTGCGCATGGAGAGCACAATCTTGTTGCATGGGTGAGTATTCACATCTTATCATCCTTGTGGTTTTAGGCCATAAGAAATGCTCACAACACTCTCGATCTATCATCCTTCTTTTAATGCACTCTACTGTTGGTAAAAGCTTATTGAAAACTACAAAATCATGAATGGAGATCACTACATGAGAAGCAACACCCACCAGTTTCTTTAATTTCCAATACATTCCACTGAATTATAAACAGTGTGTTGCTATCATTTCTCCTAAGTCACACATACATGATGTAAACCAGTTTGTATGTTCACATTTTGATTCACTTCTAAATTAACACAACAAACTTACAATCATTTGTCTTCATATTCTTGGGATATGAAACTTTGTAGGCACGGCCTCTCTTCAAGGACCGTCGGAAATTCCCGAAAATGGCTGACCCTCTACTTCAAGGCCGTTACCCGATGCGAGGACTGTATCAAGCACTTGCAGTTGCTGCAATGTGTCTGCAGGAGCAAGCTGCTACAAGGCCTCTGATTGGGGATGTGGTGACTGCTCTCACATATCTGGCCTCACAGACATATGATCCAAATGCAGCCAACCAATCCAACAGGGTTGGGCCCTCAACACCTAGGATGAGGGATGACAGAAGGAGCCTGGCCGACGGTGTGGACAGCCCTGACCGGCGCCTCGGCTCCCCTTCCACGCACCGAAACTCCCCAGACTTCAGGAAGAGAGACAGCAGGGATGCAAGCATTGGGACAGAGTTAGGCAGCAGGATGGACACGGGTGGTGGCTCAGGGAGGAAATGGGGATTGGATGATTATGAAAGGCAGGAGTCTCAGAGAGACAGCCCTGTAAATACTGCAAGAGCCAGAGAGACTCCATGGAACCGCGACCTGGACCGAGAGCGTGCGGTGGCCGAAGCAAAAGTCTGGGGCGAGAATTGGAGAGAGAAGAAGAAAGCAAATGCCATGGGTAGCTTCGATGCTACAAATGACTGAACAGACAGACACCTGAACACCAACCAACTTGCTGCTGTTCATCATGTATGGTTGAGTCAGAGGATAGACTGTGTTGGTTGTCTTGAATCCAACTTGTTAGTCATCACCATGTGAAGGAAAACAGTACACAGTTGAAAAAAAAGACAAAAAAAAGAAGAAAAATAGGGGTTGGGGGAGAAGTTAGTGTGGATTGGGGTATTTAAATGTAATGATGAAGGTGCAGAATGTGAATTGAAGAGCCATGTCTATGTACTAACGATTTCTAGGTTCATGTGTGCCTAGAGCAGCAAAGGCGCTTCTAATTTTTGGCCCCTCTTATTTGCTTGTATTGTATGATGAGGGGAGATTAGTGGATTGCTGTCACATGATGTATTCCTACACTCTCTGTTGTATGTCTGAGTCTATGTTTTCGGCTTATACCAAAAAAAAAAAATTATTTTCCACTTCACCCTTCTATTATCTTCATCTCTTGTAAACAACCACATATTAGTTAATTAGTTAAACCATTGTTTGTTCTTACCACATTTAATTAATCATTTGTCCTCAGATTTTGCAGGTTATCTAAAGAACTGTTTCTGCATCTTTTTTTTTTCTTATGGAAAAAGTATAGTGGTTTTTAATAGAATTCTAGTGATTAGGAACATAATAGCATAGAACACCTATTATTGTAAAGATCACGTTGATTTTTTGCAGGTTTAAAGAATGATATCATACTATTGTATATATTTTATAGTAACGTCTTTTGGGATAAAAGTAATTGTCTCAAATATAATAAAAAATTGAATATTACTAACGCAAGTTGTCATAGTCTTGAAGTAAAGACTTAGGTGGAAAACTAATTACAAAAGAAGTAATTTTCATGATAAAATTACGTTTTATGCAGAATATTAGTTTCATCTAGATATATTTTTGACCGAAAAATACAATAAATTATTATACAAGTAAATTCACATGTAACTGTGGCTGTGGTACCTCGTGACAAAAAATTCCCACCCACGTATAATCAAATAAACCAAAGGTTAAATATACGAGAAAAATGGTCATTATTTGAACTGATATTTTGCATGACATCAACACGTGACTCACTGGATATTTTCTTATGTGGCAATAGATAAAAGCTATAGTTAAGAGAGATATTTTCTTATGTGGCAATAGATAAAAGCTATAATTAAGAGTACATCGCATTGTGTTGTGTGGAACATGTTTCGAACCTTTAAATGTATTAATTTTAAATATATAATTGAGAATTTCCCCCTTTTTTCTGTATTTTTCAATTTATCCCACCGGGTTCAAATGAGTTCAGTTCAAAGGGTGAATAATTTTGCGGAATGAATCAAATCAAATTAAAAAGTGACTTAAATTCTTTTGAATAATTTATGTTGTTACTTGTTTAGAGCGAAACCCAAATAAACTCAGGCCATACCAACATGTAGATTTATGGTTAACTCCTTTTACAAAATAATAATTATATTTTAAAAAAATTAAAAATAATATTAAAAATAACGCAGGTCATTCCCTCCTCCTTCTCAAGGAAGATGTTGACACTAACATTCATGACATGTGAAAAATACCACTTGTGACGTCATGGATATTATCCTATCCGTTGAGTTTGTCTGTTGTACGAGGAAGTGAGGTGTGAGAGTTCAATGGAGGAATGAGATTTGGTTTTGGATTTAGGTATAGAGGTGTTAGAACTCACACTCCAAACCCTTAAAAGCATTGAAGCTCGTTGTTGAAGAATGAATGAGGAATCTCACTACAAACAAGTCTTTGCTTTCATCAGTAACTATGCAAAGGAGTTTACTTCCTTGATTTACTGAAGGAAAAGAGATTGAAAGGATAGGTGGTATTGGTGGTAAAATACTGATTTCAAAACGTTAGCTTAACGCAAGTCTACTTCAAAAATAGTACAAATAAGAATTACATATATTTCATTGAACTAGTTGTTCAAATCTAAGGATTTGTTTGTAGATTATACATACTTACATTCTTACAACATCCGATTTCTACATGGTATTATCTACCTAGTCATACAACTGATATTTGGAGCCTACATTAATCAAAAAGAGGTTGGTAGCACGACCTACGGAACGCAAGCCGCCAATTGTCATGTATGTAAAACCCTACAATCCTTTACTTATCCCATTCAATATAGAGACCACATGTCCATTTATTTTCTTCTCTTCCCCTGCCACAAAAATATGATCTGCTTCAGTAAAAGCAATGCAGAAAACTTTTATGTAATCCAAATAACATAACTCTTAGAAGAAATGCATACCGTGCTTGCGTAATCATCCATTGTTAACTGTTTCCGCTTCTTCAAAGACGGACTATCTGTCTGTCTTGCCAAAGCACGCTTTGATGGGGTCATGTTCTGCAAGATTTATTAAATTTAAGTATGGAAAAAATGAATATTTGAATTCTATACTATTTACACATAATATGAAGAAAACTAACTTTAGCAAGTTTCTTCTCTTTGCGAGCTTGTCTCTCCCTCTCATCATATTCTTGGTTTTCCTTTTCTACTAGACGAATGAGAGTGTCACACCTTCTTGCCAATTCCTGAGTTGTGCGAGACTTAACAAACCAATCAAATCGAAACAAGGGTGAAGTTCGAAAAGCTGCCTTTAGCTCATCCCAATTCCCATAGCCAAGTTTGTGAACCATGCATATCTGCAAATTTACAGCAAATATAACTTTCCTAGAAACCAATAGAAGGATGGTGGAGCTAGACCTAGAAACAAAAAAAAAAATGAACGAAAAAATGTGTACCATGAATCTGTCACATTCTTCATTGTACAACTTCCCTTTGTTTTGCCCATATTGTATCTTTAACTCAAGCCAAGGATTCTTGTACCGGTCCAACTTTTTCCCAATAGCTTTCATGATCTCATCTTTCCGAGAAATTCTTGCCTCCCCCCTTTCAATGTTTTTAATAATTCTGTCATAATCTGCAGCGATTCAAAATGCACAAGTCAGTTTACATTCCACACAATTTTCCAGCTAAAATTGATACATCAACGCCTACACACAACAACAAAGTCTTATCCCACTATGTGAATATCAATAAAGAAATGTGCAACATTTTACCACAAGACATAAAAATAAATGTAAATATCAATCACTCAAATAGCTGGCTATATGAAACAAGTAAACTAATCCACACTAAAATATTTAACAAAAGATTGTTCCATGGTCACACTGGCTGTAGCATACCATTTAATTCCTTGTATCTTTCTTTGAAGACCTTCGCATATCTTTCAACTTCCTCCTCAGTTTTTCCTTCCATCTCAGAAGCAATACTTTTTATATCATTTCTGCCATATTTTTCGCAAGCCCTAATGAAAGTATTAAAATCCCTCCGGCTCCAGGATGAAAATCCCTATATAAACAAAATACTAATGTTTAAAAAAAATAGTCCCCACGTAAGTCTAGTTTGAAGAAAAGGGGAAAAACTTTCACCTCTTCTAGCAAGCGCTCCTTTTCCTCCAACTCTTCAGCAGTCAACGGATCTCCCACCTCTAAACATTCATTTCATCAAAATTAAAATTAAAGACATACATGTAGAAAGGAGGAGTCTGGAGGATGACCACGTACCTTCTGGTTCATCAACATCTATTGAGTCCTTTATCTGATTCTTCTGGTGTGCTTGCTGAAATTTTTGAAAAGTAAGGGAACAACTAATACCAACTCATTCAGCTAAACTTAAAACCTAAAGATGTGAACAAGAAAATTCATTTTCCCTACACATACCATGAGATAGCGAACTTCCTTTTCGTACAGCTCACTCAACCTCTGCGTGTTGAAAAACTGAAAATCATGCCTGGAGGTCAAAGAAGAAAAGGTTATCAGTGAGTATATAACAGAGGTGTTAAGAAAATATGAAAGTTTAGAAGCTTACAACTGGGGCATCCTAGGAATACGAGGCTCTTTTGGTTTAGTAGGACCACCTTGACGCATTGTTTGCTTAAAGTACTCAGACTCTGAGTAGCTACGAGCGAGAAACCCCAGAAAAAGAACAGCAGCATACCATGTCATAAAAACAAAATATCAAATCAATATGGATGTTTAGAATGTAAAGGGAAATGCTTACTTTCGCTTCCGCTCCCTTTTCGGTGGTTCAATCCAGTTCTCACTAACAATTTTTTTAATATCAAATCTGTTCTCGTCCTTTACACAAAAGGAAATTGGCATGCCAATGTCAGTTGAATAGATAAGGGGGAAGGGGATAGAAGGTTGAGTACACAGCAACAAAAAGTTGTCAAAGTTAAAACTAAGTGTCATCTTTACCTTCTCATCATCAAAATCATATAGCTCCGCAGCTACAAAAAGAAAGCATCAGTATTAGTAACTCTACAAGCAGCAGAAAGATTAAGAGAATAGGTAGTCATAGGTACATACTGTCATCCATCTTAAATTTGATGGCGTCTTCAGTAAATTTCTTCATCTTGGCATCAAGTTCAGCAGTTGCCTCCTCTCCTTTAGCAATAATTCTATCAATATCCTCATCTGTAATTGTACTATCCTTGGAACTGAAAACCATTTCAGCCCCAAATCTAACCATTTGAAGCAACTCATCTTTATTTACCGCTGCACATGAAAGCCAGTGGAATCATATTAGACAATTCATAAATCTTGAAGCAAAGAAACTAGCAAAATCATCCATCAAATCCTTACTCTTCTGCTCAGCTAATCTCCCTTGCTGAATCACCAAAGCATCAAGTGCAAGCTTTTTGTAGGCCCTTTCAATGACTTTTTCTTCAATTGTATACTGTACCATTATTATGACGAGATGAGGTGCTAAAATATAGAGTGAATAACAAATTGAAAAGAAAAATAAAGTTTAAAATTGCTAACCTCGGTACAAAAGCGAAAAACTTGAACTTCCTTCTTTTGACCAATCCTATGAGCACGATCCTGAGCCTGCAAGTCAACTTGTGGGTTCCTGTTGTAAACCGCCAATCATGTAAAAATAATTTAGGTACAGATATAAATTATATGGCTGTATCCACAACTATTTAAAATACTGACCAGTCACTGTCATACAGAATGACAACATCAGCAGTAGCAAGATTAATTCCAAGACCTCCAGCACGAGTAGATAACAGGAAGACAAATTTCTCACTTCCTGGTTTGTTGAAAGCGTCAATGGAAGCATCTCGATCATCCCCACCAGTATTTCCATCAATGCGACAATATTGATATCCACGAAACATTAAATAATCTTCAAGAATGTCTAGAAGCCTCGTCATCTGAGAAAAACAAAAACTTAGGGACACAAGAAAATATGAAAGGAGGGAATAAAAGAGAGCAAAGAAAAACAGATTGCAGAATCTAAAGCATTATCGATCATCAGCATCAAGAATAGCATTCTGACAAAAAAAGAACTGACCTGAGAAAATATAAGGACCCTAGAATCACGCTCTTTCAATTTAGGAAGTAA